CAGTGTGAGAAAATTGAAAATTTGTTTTATATTTATTTTATACTTTTTTTCATTCATATTCTAGATCGGCACCATCTGTTCGATCATATGCTACAATAGAAATACAGTATTGTCATAAATATTCGACATTGATGAGTTTATGTTTGATTTTTGTTTATTATAGACCCCAACCATTAAAAACACTTATGAGTTTAACAAATGATGTACAAAAGATTTATGCTGAATATGAGGCAAATATTCTACAGTTTTTTTTTCTCTAGAATACTTTCAATTTTCTTGTATATCTAACACTATTACAGTGTGTCTCTCTAGTCAGTCGAATGTACAAAATCAATTAAATAAATGCTCTTGATTTTTGTTTATAACAAGTTTTCTTGACATTTAGAAATTAAATACTTTAGCTCCAGTAGTAGACGATTTGGATAAGAATGTTGAATATTCGCAATATGATCGATACATTGATATACCATCTCGAGGAAAATGTAATCTTTCTAATATTATAAAATTTGATAAATAAGGGAATTTTCTGTGATTTAGGGAAACATACTGCTGTATATTTGAACGATCCAAACAAAATGCATGATTATATCAATGCAAATTTAATAAAGGTATTCCTAGTTCAATCTTGACATGATTATATAACATCTCTTTCTCTTCTCCGTTACAGAGTTCGAATTTAGACATTAAATATATTGCTACTCAAGCACCATTATCGAATACAATCGAAGAATTTTGGTGGATGATTTTACAATATAAAGTGACAAAAATAGTTATGTTAACAAAATTTGAAGAACGATTAGATTCAGAACGTTTGATTGTATGTATAAAAAAATGTTTTTCTTTTTACTGCTAATAAATTTACTCTTTTTTATTTAGAATAAATGTGCTCACTATTTTCCAATGGACAAACAAGAACATAAAATGTACGGATCAATAGATGTTGAAGTTTTAGACGTTCAAATTCAATCAGAATTAGAAATAAGAGAGTTATGTGTCACTTCTGTGAGTATCAAGAGTCATTGATACCGAAAAATGAATTAAAGTTTTTAAATATTTTAAGGCTCTTAATGTACAACACGTAACACACTATTACTTTACGGCCTGGCCCGACTTTGGTATTCTTGACAAACAAAAACTTATCGATCTTATTCAAATGGTGAATAAAAGTGTAACAAAAACCATCAATGATTCATCTACGGCTTCTAGTGAAAAAATAGCGGCACCTTTAGTTGTGCATTGCAGGTATAGACAATGGATTTACTTTTAAAGAAGATTTGAGTAATAAATTGTCTCGGAGATTTTAGTGCGGGCGTTGGTCGCACTGGAACTTACATTGCCGTTGACACTGTTATGCATTTACTGGATAAAATATCCTACGATGAATTAGCTAACGCAAAACTTGATATTATGGGAATTGTATATCAATTACGTTTGGATCGGGCAAGAATGGTTCAGACAAAGGTAATTCAAATCTACTAATCAAACAGTCGTTCATTACGACTACAAGAATGATTTATCGAGAATTTGCTGTAAATAAGAAACATGCGCAGTGGAGTAATGTAAATAATAAAAAAGAAAATAATAAAAAGTCACAGATTTTTTTATAATAGAGTCTGCATCAATTAATGTTAAAAAGGTTATTTAAACATATTTACCTTTTTAAAGTCAACAGGACGTGGGTAGATAACGCTGATGTGTATTCTAGAATGAAAATAATTTTTTTTCGATAGGCAACGTTTTAAGGAGATACTCGGATCACTTCCTACTATTTGGTTTGTCGAAAATTGTTAATGAGACTTTTGATGCCTGAAATCTTTTTTAGAATTTCTGAGCAATTTATTTTCAACGGGCATTTTTTAAAAACTGTATGGGTTACTACTAAAAGAAAAAATGATATACTTTTTTTAGAAAACTGGCGTTCATATGGTTTTAAGCAATTTTTAGATGGTATTTCATGACTTTTGCAAATAAAATCTCATATTTTGCGGTTTCACCGGTCTAATCTGGTATAAAACATGAAAATATGATATTCTGTTGAGATTTTAGCTAAAAAGAAAACTCAAGAGAGTTTTCAAGAGAGTTTTATATATTTTTATTACCTTGAGGAGAACCAAATTAATAATGTCACCATTTGATAGAGTATAATTTCGAAACGTCGTAGGAAGTGATTCTAGTACCGTCCTAAGATCTTGTCTATCAAAAAAACCGTTTTCATTCTGACATACAAACCAGCCTTAGCTACCCATGTTCGTTGTTGAAATTCAAGAGGAAGACATCACTTTTTCTTTTGCTCTATTCATCCACCCACTTGACGGGGGAGGAGTCTTAACTGAGATATACGTCAGTATGTTCCCAGTGCTCCATCACTACCTGGTTTTACTATGGATCATCATTCTCTAATAAGTATTTCAATGGGAAAAAATCTTAACTTGAAAGAGACTGAAGCCTACCTACCATATCTTTCTCGTTACACTAAAAATGTATTCTTTTATTTAGGATCAATATTTATTGATCTATCGCTGTGTTGAAGAATATCTAGCGAGAACCGGCCGATTTGATGCGTGTAAGCAAATTAGAAATATCTAAATACTTTTTCAAAATTTTTGTCTTTTATGTGTGTTACAGTGAAAATACCTAGTTTAGAATACAAGAACGATACCGATGATAGCATCCAATTTATGCATTTTGAAGAGGCATACAAAAATTCTGACTTCACAAATTCAGATATAAAACAGCAACCATACACGCAAAACTACCGGAATTCTAACATACTATCCGACTCTCTACTACCGAGTAGAGAAAAAGATTATTTATCACCTGATAGTACAGGATTCAGTCAAAACAATCGAGTTTAACACAAACATCATCAAAATAGTATTAATCGAATTTTAGAAGATCTTAACGACAGTCAGTTAATCATCGTTCACATTTATATATAACCAAGAAAAGTTTCAAGAAATACCTTTTGAAAAAAGGTATGCCATTATAGAATTGATCTCTATTCATCTTTTCATACAGATTCTCTGTTTGTTTTTAGTCCATGATAAAAAAACTTTCAGTCTCCGTTATATGCGTTGAACAGAACTTTTTGTTCTAGATTATTTTTGTTATTATATTAATCTCCTTTGTTGTTATAATCTCTTTCTTTGGATATATCCGTTTTCTTGTTTTTTATCCACTTGTGATAATAAGTGATTTATGTTTTTGTTATGTTTTTTGCCAATTCAACCGGTGCTACTTTTCATGATAATCTCTGATTTTGCTATAACTTTTTTTTCTCTTTTTCAGTATATATTTTATTTTTATTGTTATTTTTGATAACTTTATTTAACAAGAGTAGAATCAAGGATCTTTATATTTTCTGCCGGTGACTTCAATATGAAACAAACAGTTATAGATAAATCATAGTTTGACTCTTTCTAAAAGAAGTCAAAACGTACATCAGTTGTTCCTTAATGAATGATATTATTTTTTACGTGCACTCTATATAAATGATCTTCGCAACTAGGAGAACAAATGAATAGAAGTGCTTAGTGCTAAAAATAGGTCATTGTGAATATTTAACATGATTTTCTTCAATTTTATATATATCGCCGAATGTTCTGCTTAAACAATATTTGACTCCAAATATCACAATTGTAATCGGTTTTTTATTGTATGTTTATTAAATAAAATCGAGTATATTATATACATAGATCAGACAGAGAGAAAGAATCAATATTCATTTTTTGCTTAGTGTCATAAGAAAAAAATAAAAATCTACTACTTATGAAAAAACCACTCCAACTGTCCGATCGCTTTTTCTATGAAACCTAGTGGACAATAGGTAATCGAGTGTGCTAAATCCGAATACCATAGTGATTTTGGCGTCTAGGCCTCCAGAGACCGGTTTTCTGGAAAACCAGTTTTTCAAGAACTCTAAAAGATAACCAACACCTTTCTTAATGAGGCATAATTGTAGCCCGTACATCTCTGATTAAAATGAGACATCTCCCAGCTCTACGCAACCTTTCTTTGCAAAATTCGAGAATTTATAAGAAGAGCCTAAATATTCATGGTCAGCTCAAAGCTACAGAGAGATAAGAAAAAATTAACTTAGGGCTTTTCTTGTAAGATCTATAACTTTGCAAAGAACGGTCGCGTAGAGCTGGGAGATGTCTTATTTTAATTAAAAATGTGCGGACTACAATTATGCATCATTAAGAAAGGTTTTGGTTATCTTTTAGAGTTCTTGAAAAACTGGCTTTCCAGAAAATCGGTCTCTGGAGGTCTAGACGCCCAAACCACTATGATATTCGGATTTAGCACACTCGATTACCTATTGTCCACTAGGTTTCATAGAAAAAGCGATCAGACAATTGGAGTGGTTTCCTCGTTAGTGGCTTCTTGTATGAGTAAAACGATTATGACTTTGTCGACATTCTGTTTAATAACAAAACATTTCAAATTTCACTTTATTTTTTCAAAATATTTGAAATTTGCCAGATGACTAGAGGTGGGTAGTATAACTCAAACGTGCATAACACGAGAATTATTATATTTTAAAAAAAAAGTTAAATTGGAATACGATATCATCAAGAACAAAATGTGCAGATATAAGCGTGAGATATTCATCAGTCAAAATTTACCATCAATAAACAAAACGTTTGTTCCAAATTATCAATGAGAGATTTTTCAGAATAGCCGAACATGACATATATCATATCTTCATCTGTCCTGTCGGCTCATTTCTTTTGACTTCACTCGTAGTGATGGAAGAAAAACTTAAGATAGTCTTCATAGACACTCAACTCTTATCATCGTTTCATTTGTAAAACACTTTATTTGTTCTTGTCTGAATACTGTTCATTTTAACAAAAAAAAGAAAAAAAACAAACAAACTCAGAAACAAAACAAAATAATACTCATTTACAATACGAAAAGCTAGATCATCGTGAATAATGGCGTAATTTGCTCTACGATGAGAGACCTACACACATATCTAACAACAACTCATAAAGTATAAATAGTTAAAAATACCATTTTATATTATTTAAAACAAAAACTAAGAAAAAATATCCAGTAGATTTTTATAATTAAAAAAAAAAAGCTGAAGTATTTCGTGTTTAACTTTCAAAAAAATGTTCAATTAAATTTTATATTACAAGCACATCCGAAAGCAAATTAGATAATTTTCTTCATATAAAAAACAAAAAAAAATTGGCAAGTACAATTGAGAAAAATAAATATATTAAAACATTTTATCGAGACATTCAAATGTCTAAAACAGAAAAAAACACTGTTAATTACCTACACTGTCAATTACCTTAAGCACAAAAAAAAATAAATAAGGCCACTAACAATGAGAATTGTTAAAAATACACAATTCGTTGCAAAAGACAAAGTAAAAAACTAGAACCGTATCAAATAAGAGATGTCTTGTTCTCTAAGCAAATACGACACATTTCTATCAAATCTGAACACAATGTAAAAGAAATGAAACAAAGCATAGCTATATAAGCATATAGATATTGAAAAGAAATCGAGAAAAAAAATGTGAAAAAATATTTTGCATATCTGTGAATATGCGTGTAAGTATAAAATGAAAAAATAAAAAAAATTTCTCTTACTTGATACAACTTGTTGTAGTTTAACAAATATATATTCAAGCTTTAATTCCTTTTTTTCGTTCAATTAATTCTTTTTGCCATTGAGGCATTGTTATGTTTGTTTTATCGCCTGTAAATTGGTTATGTTTTGGACCAGAATTTATAGTATTTTGGCCTGATTTCTAAAAGAAATGATTGTAACTGCATGATAATAAAATATATTAAAGATGTATAATTAATTACCGATTGAAAACTTTCAGTTTTTGATGTTAATTTATTTTGATTATTCAAAAATTCTTTGCCACGTATCGATTCTTCAATAACTGGTGTATTATCATTATTTTCACTATTACTTGTATCAACCAGAGTATATTCATTTTCAGCAGATGACACATGGACATCGTCACTATTATATTTTTCTTGTTGAACTAAACCTAAAATAATATAAGAGTAAAGAAAACAAGATAGTTACAAATAATCTTTAATAATACTAACTATTTCGTCGAACTTTTCTGAGACCAGCATGAACGGTGCTAAAATATAATCAAGAGAATACTTAGATAACACTTAAACCGATAATATAATCTAACTAAGTGATATAATAAGTATCTATATTAGTGATGTATAACGATTATTAATATATTGTAAGGGTAAGTAAGCTAATATTTTTACCTGCTAAGCATCCCTAGATAAATTATGGGTTAGTCATATCGTAATTATTTATTTTCCCACAGCATAAGATATAAACCAAATAGTGTGAAAAACAAATAATACTAATTCTAGCATTTATATAATGGTGTTAAAAAAACCACATGCAATCATGCAAAATATAAAAATATTTAACAAAAAATAAAATAATGTGCAATTTTCTACTAAAAAATTTTTTGCAGGCATAGTACTCGTTTATACGCATTAGATTCGAACAGATATACTATTATAGGTGAAAGAATATTAAAAAATAATTTAGCGCAATCATTGTCGATACATACACAGTAAAATCATGTACTCAGAGATAACCTAAGTAAAAGAAATAACTATTGTTCATTAAAATATTGTAAAGAAAAAAAAACTGATGTTTAGTTGAAGAACAAGATCATAACTACAGTAACTAATATATATCTAGTAACACGACATATAAGTCGTTTATTATAAAAAGTTGAACTGAGTTTCGATGATTTCTTATAATCATAAGCGATGATGGTCGTAGGCATACTACAAATCAAAACCTTTTTGTTTTTTGTTATATGTGTATATCCAGATGATATAGTAAAGAATCATTAACAAAACGCTTCCTTATCATCATGCCATTAAAACAATTAGAAATTTTAAATGCTGAAAATAAAATAGTAAGAAAAGAAATATCAAATATCTTCTTACTTTAATTGCTCTTTAAATGTGTCAGGATCTAAATTTTTCATCCACGGTCCGTAAACGTCATGAGGTAATTTTGCCCGAGTTTTACCGGCCTGATTTCGCTGATTTATTGAATTTAAACTATGTAAAAGTTGACTTGAATCATGAGATGAATTAAAATTTTGATTTATATCGGAATTATTAGGTTCTCGTCGACTATTTGCTTCGTGCTCTAGAACTTTTGCTTGTAATTCTTGTGCAAATGGTCGAGTTCGACGACGATTTGTATCATTTTCAACAGATGGTGTCGATGATTGTTGTCTTATCTCATTGACTATTTCATTTTCACTCACTTGTAATGAGACATCGGCTCGTTTGACATTTTTTTTTCTTACAACTAATCTTACCACAGAAGTCTTTGGATGTTGTGTCACAGAGTCATTGACGGATGTGACTGATGTAATATTTGATCCCGGGAGAGCTTTATGAATGAGTGATCGTTCACGTAATTTCAATTCATTTGAAAGATCAGTAAACCCGTTTTGTTGAGCTAAATCAGATGGCTTCAAATGTTGCACATTTTGATCTAATGGAGAACAACCAGCTTCAATTAATAATGCACACGATCCGTTTCTGCCATATTCAGCAGCCTAAAAACAGAGGCAAAATAATTTGACTGAAAATAACTAAAACTATCTATATATAAAATTGAGCGGAACCGAACAGCGGTACATTATAACAGCAAGATCCGATCAGATACAGTCGTGCGATAAACTAACAGTTCAGTCAACGCTGACTGGTAAAACGGCACACCATCATCAAACTAATGAATTTGCAATGTTTACGCTACACATCGATAAGATAAAACTGCTTATATTTTTTTAAAGGATTAACTAAAGACATACCACATGCAAGGGTGTATTTCCATTACTTGCGGCTTGTATTCTTGCACCCCGATTTAACAAATAAGTGATTAGTGATTCATGTTGACTACTAGCTGCATAATGAAGAGGTGTATAATTTGAATAATCACAATCATTTACATTGGCATTTTGTTTTTCGAGCTAAAAGGACAAATAAACACAATTCAAACCACTTGACTTTCCATAAAGATACGTCAACATACCAGCCATCCTACAACCTCTGTCGTCGCATTTCGACATGCTGAAGAAAGGAAAACAAATGGATAACACAATTTTCTGACAATCGCCGATTAATATTAAACTCAAACCTGCATGTAAACAATTGAGTCCATCTTCATCTTTAAGTCGAATATTTGCTCCACGACTAATTAGAATTTTAATCACTTCCAAATGATTCATATGACATGCTAAGTAGAGAGGTGTTAAACCTGCAATTGTTTGACCATTGACAGTGTCCGGAGCAACTTTCAGTAATAATTTAACGCATTCACTGTGACCATGGGACGATGCGTAATGCAATGGAAAGGATCCATCGTAGGAACGAATATGAGCGTCAGCACGCTGATCTTCTAACATAAACTTTAACGATGGATACGAACCATACCAAGCAGCTAAAGGCATAAGGAGAGAAAGTTTAAGTGTAATCACTTGTTTTCTCAACTAACCTAAATGTAAAGGTGAATCGCCTCTTTCATCTCGAACATTCGATTTTAATTCTGTTTGATGGAATAGATATTCTAGTGCTTCCAATCGATCACAAACAGAAGCATCATGTGCAGCTGTGGCTCCGTTCTCCGATTTCAAATTAGCATCCATTTTTTTATGTTCAATCAAATATTGTAAAATATCAGTTTGACCGTGCCTTGCTGCATAGTGTAATAGAGATGCACGATGTTTATCTTTGATTTCACCTAGTCGTTGAGCATCAACATGATCAATTAAAGACTTTAACGAGTATAAATTACCCGTTTCACAATGAGTGAACGCCGATGAATAATCAGACATCTATAAAACGGAAAAAGAGAACATAAATTTTGATTATCGTTCAAAAGCCTAGGAAAACAGTTTGCACTTTTTATGTGAAGCGAGAGAATAGAATGAGAACTTAACGTCAAAGAGGGTGAGAAGCCGGAGAATTTCAGTTTTTAATTTACTTCGTACCATAAGATTCTCAGAAAACGATTATAACACGAAACAATTCATACGCTCTGCAGTAGAACGTTGACTGTAGAGAATAGCAAACGCCAGCAGCGGATCTAGAAATTTTACTGCTGGGTACGGTTAAACAAATAAAAACTTCTGCAAACTAAAAAAATGGCTGCCCTCACCACAATCCTTTAACAATATTTTAATAGAAATGTTTGTCATCGTGAATTTTTCCATTCACAGAATCAGCATCAATTTTTACAGTCAAAATTTCCAATTCAATAAAAATCCACTTCAAAATCAGATTTGCGGTCAGATCACAGTGAAAATTAAAGTGGATTTCAGTTTTTCATTGTAGATTACGATAACAAGTGCACTTATCCATCATCTATTAGAAACACTATTGTCACGTATCTCTAACGCCTAAATACTCTTACGTTCCTATGGCTTTGGTGTTCTTAACAGCAAATTATATGCAACAGGAGTAACCAATTAAAGTGAGTGTTGTCATGGTTAATATACGGAAGATACAAGACGGTAGTGTTGGCGCTAAAGGACGTTCTTCTTTACACTATGACCTATCGTATCTTAAATTGTTGTCACGTAGTGTGATCATATCATTACAAACTTTGGTGTCTGTTTTTTGACAGTTGTCGAGACTTTTCTATTTAGTTGTAACGAAAGTCTAGTCTACGTAATTCAAGATATGTCTGTTTGTGTCATTAAATCAAGACGCGACTGAAACTATCACAACACAACGACCAACCACAGTGATAAAAATTATTTCATTGGTTTAAAATAAGAATCAATAAAAATTTCTGGATGCATGAAACATAATCAAAGAGAGAGTGTAAAATGTTGGATATGATTTCTCCTTAGCAACAAGGTTATTTTGAGTAATGAAACTCAGTTAAAAAAAGGGTGTACACGTGTCATTACTTTTCTCCACTTACGGACTGCATATATTATTTCTCGCTTTATTTGCGGATCATTCGAGAGTTGACTATAGTCTTGAAGACACGGCATCCTTTTTCTACGTGTTATTCATCCTCATGTGCTTGTTTTCCATCCCATATATGGTCTAGATGTGGATTTTGAGAACGATTTAGTCAAGCAGTTTATCATAATGACCATTTTAGATAATGGGTGTTCCATAAAGAATGACACTGTTTGTATTTTGCGCTTTTCTCTGCCAATTTTGATAGCTAAGACTAAACTTTCCCCCAAAAGATAGCCCATTCAATTCTCCACAAAACCATATGAAAGGCGTTCCTGTAAAATAGAATCGTGAAATCCTCTGCAGCCTCAACGCTAGTATGCGCCTGTAGAGAACCGTTACAAATGCCCTTTTCCCTAAAATTAGTCATCGTGCCCTGTCTGTTCACGAAGACGCCAAGTCACTCTGATGCACGTTTTCCTATGTTTTTGACTGTGTTCTTTCTCATAGCGCTTAAAACAAGTCGATCGAATTAGATGAAGGGCTAACGCCCATTTTCCTGGAAAACTTGTTTGGATTAAATGAGGGTTTCCATCTCGCACTCTCTGTATTGTAGAAATTTTTCAATTGCGACTCGTCTTATAGAGCTTTTCTACGGCTACAAAATGGCATATTTAGCCTGTCCATATTCAGTCAAATATTGGCGTAATACTCACAAAACGGAACAGTCAGTTTGAAAATGTACCTCTTCGGGAGTACGTCTGTGTTGACTGCATAGGATTTCACGATTGTATTTTACAGGAAGTCTTTTCATATAATTTTGCAGAGAATTGAATGACTATCTTTTGGGGAAAAGTTCAAGTCTCATCTATCAAAACTTACAGAAAAAAGAGCAAAATACAAATAGTGCCATTCTTTATGGAACACATGTTAGAACCTATTATTTGATTAATGTATCTAAAGACAAATAAAAACTAAAAACAATGATGAAGTGGTACCAATAGTTTTATGCGTATGTTACACGAGATTTTTGTCTAGATCAATACGAAATATGAATTTATGTTTGATCCTGTTGTTTTTTTTCTTTCTATCTTTTCAGAATCTACGGATATGATTGTGTATAACATCGTGTACACACACAATTAGCTATATAATGACTTTGTCGGTTTAATCTGGTTATGTGTATTTTCTAATAAATATCGTTTAAACCAAATATGAACTGATACTATAGAGAATATTTATAACAACGTTTGCATTTTTCGTCTAAACGTGAACATCTGATAAATGTTTGTTGTTTATTCAACAAAGATGTTAAAAGTCCAAACTAAAGATTATTTACGCAAAAACAATGAGAAAGATCAAAGGACGGGAACGCATAACATTAACAATCGGCTCACTCTCTTTTTCGAGTAATAATGGTTTCGTATGTAGTAAAAACGTATTTCGAATTCGATTCTGGGTACAATCAGATACTTTTATCACTAAAATCTCGTTAATTCCTCGATAATAGCATCCTAATCTGCAGTCTCAAAACAACGTCCACATGATAAGTAAAACGTGTTTTTCTCAAGTTTGTTACGCTAATACGGCTAACTAAATACACGATTAGATAGCCCTTGAAAGTCTCTACAAACTGAGTTAGTTAGAATATCTTGAATGGTGGCGCCCGCACAGTGTGCATCCAGGCGGACTTTTGATAAGAATTTGAAAGTGCGCTTTTCGGTGATTGACCAGACTGGTCTAGGGAAAAATACACACTGTGATTCGCCACCAAAGACATGCAAAAAAAGACATGCAGAAAACTTTCTCAATATTTAAAAACGATGCCACTGGAAAGAGCATTGTCGAAAACCTATAAGAAACATGTTTCGAGTCGTTCAGGTTACTTTATCTTGAAATTCAAATTTTCAGCACGAAATTGT